CAAAATCAGTATTCCAAGGTCGGGGCAATTTCAACGGGTCCAATTCCTTCCGATCAGCTCCTTGGTGTGATTGAAACTGCCGCCAAGACTGGTGCTCAGGTTTATCTTTCAATTTCTGCTGCTGTTATTAGGTTTATGTTTTTAGTAATTTTACTGGGCTTTAGTTATTGGTGAGTTAGGAGGTGTTTGGGCGGACAAAGGAAAGAATGGTGTTGTTGTGATGTTGCTAAGCTCATATGGTTAAGTTCATAAAGTTTGCCTTTTTTTTTATGTATCCTTCTGCTGTTTTAGATTAACTGGGGAAAAAAATCAAGACCGGCTGTTTGATTTTCCACCTCTTACAAGTTTGTGAGTCGCTTAATCTGTTTATGATTGCTTTGGCTTTTATGTGGTTTTTTACTGCCCTATGGAAAGCTAGCTTCGACCATTGTCAGCGAGTAGATGAGTCATATATTTTTGTTTATCCGTTTACCTTCTTAGTGTTTGCCCCTATTTGTTCATTTCAAGAACATAATCTTTTGGCATTGCTATTTGACGTGTCTTGAGAGTAAATGCTATGAATTTTCTATTTGTCTCAGGTCATAATGGAGGCAGTGAATAAACCTCGGAACATTACCTACAAAATAGGACTCTCTGATTTGGTGACTGAGTAAGGCCCATCTTGTTTGCTATTTGATTTTGCGTTCTTTCGGCATCTGATAGGTTCAGGAATTTGCAATGAAGGCTGTTTTGTAATGCACGTTCCTTTTGTGACTTGAAGAAATATGGATGTAAATTTAGAAAACCAGTTGAGGACAGGGGCAATCTGATTTTTTAGTGGTCATTATAATGTTTTTTTTCTTAAAGTACAACTTTTAGTATTTATCTCATCTTTGTTAGCATGTAAATTTTGTCATTGTTTTGCATTTTGATGCATGGATTCAACAATTGTAATGCAGAACAGATAAAATGAGTGAGGCTGCTATTCTAGATGTTGTGAGAAAGAATTTCCCGGACCACCTAATTCTTGGTGAAGAAGGTGGAATCATAGGAGATACTTCTTCAGATTATCTTTGGTGCATTGATCCCCTAGGTAAAACCGTAAAATTGCCTCTCGACTTTTTATTTTACTATTTATTTTTATCCTTTTGTTGTTTTGGGTTTCGAAATTTCTGTTTCAACACGTAAAAGTGCACAAATTGCTGTTGTTTCTTTGATTTGTTTTTCTTATGTTCATGTAGATGGCACCACAAATTTCGCTCATTGCTATCCGAGCTTTGCCGTTTCCATTGGAGTCCTTTACAAAGGAAAACCAGCTGTGGCCTCTGTGGTATCTAAGCTCATCATTTGTCTAATTTACAAATGGTTTTCCTTTATCTCATGAGCTAGAAATTGAAAATTTTGCCTTTATTGGCAGGTGGAGTTTGTCGGTGGACCTAAATGTTGGAATACTCGGACTTTTACTGCAGCTGCTGGTAGAAGACTATTTAAATTGCTTTTTTTTTTTTATAATTATATTGCAGCTTTTAAGCTTAACTCACAATTTTCTGGATTCCAGGTAATGGTGCATTCTGCAACGGAGACAAAATTCATGCAAGTCAAACCGATAAGGTGATTAATTATTCGTCGTGCAGCAATACATAAAATTGCTTAATCTGCGTGATTTTTTTTCTTTTTTTGGCATTTTGTTGGTTCTTTCATTTTGCCTAGTTCTTTAAATAAATTGTTTTATTAAAAATAGGTCGAACAGTCGCTTTTAGTTACTGGGTTTGGATATGAGCATGATGATGCATGGGCAACCAATATCGAACTTTTCAAGGAATTCACTGATATCAGTCGGGTAAGGCCCTTTTTTTCCTTTAAACTGTGATAATTTTTTTTTCCTCACGTTCGGATTGCAGGGTGTAAGGAGACTCGGTGCTGCAGCAGTCGATATGTGTCATGTGGCCCTAGGAATTGTCGAAGGCTATTGGGAGTATCGTCTCAAGCCTTGGGATATGGCTGCTGGTGTTTTGGTAATTTGTTCTCATCTCGATTTTAAATAAATTCTTTTACACGTATATTCGACCATCTGTTTTTCTTACATATATTGTCTTAATTGTGATCCTTTTTCTTGGTTACTCACAGTAAGTTTTTTGTAAGTTTACACTGCATTTTACTTGTTGATATTTTATGTTTTTTTTTTCCCCTAGTAGATTGTTGAAGAGGCTGGGGGATCGGTTTCTTGCATGGACGGTAGCAAATTTTGCGTTTTTGATAGATCTGTATTAGTATCCAATGGAGTTCTTCATAATAAGGTTAGTTAATTTATCCAACATTTATATTTTCATTATTTTCAATCCTTCAACTCCAGAAAATCATAGTCATTTTCTTTTTCCAGTGATAATAACTGGAAAGGCTTTATGTGATTTTCAGTGACCTATGAAGTTTGATAAATTTTCTTCACCAACTATTATTATAATTTTTTTTCTTCAGCTGCCTATAAAATCATTTTAAATAAAACAATTTATTTTATTCTATTTATTTCTTCGTATTTGCTTTATAATCTCGCAACCCGATTAATTTCACCTTGGAAATGAATGCAGCTTCTTGAGAGAATTGGTCCAGCAACTGAGAAATTGAAGGACAAAGGGATCGATTTTTCACTGTGGTACAAGCCTGAAAATTATTTTACAGAACTTTGAGATGCCTTTAATTTTTCTGGTGGAATTGCATAAATTATGGAATCAGTTTAATATTATGGTAATGCATAATTTTTATTTTTATTTTTTTTTTTCCCTCTTTTCCTGATGATTAAATTTATGTAAAATTATCTTCAATTGATAATTTATTTTTTCACATATAGCTGATAATTTATTTTTTCACTGGAAGCAAATCATGATTTATTCATAAATCTCTTCATAACAAAATATATCTTTTTTCTTTTACTTGTTCCCACTTCTTGGGTCAGAAAAATGTTAATGGGCCAATGCGAACTGGACAGAAATTGGGCCCTTGTTGATCTTCGAGCCCGTTTATAATGTCTACTTAATGCCCGCTTCTTGTAATTAGTAATGTGACCAACACTTAACAATTCCAAAACCCAAAAAAAAAAAA